GGGCAGCACGACCTGGTTTTCAACAACCCGCTGTCACAGGATGAGGGGGTGCGTGTGTGTTTGTGTGTGAATATATATTTTTTTTTTTTTTAATGAATCCACATTAATGAACAACTGAAATAGTTTATAATTATTGCAACAGTCTGGAGGGAATGCATTAGGGCCACATTTTGCATGCAAATATAAAGCAACTGAGTAACAACGAGAGGGAGACATGGAGTCACACACAAACACACACTCACCCCCTCATCCTGTGACAGCGGGTTGTTGACAACCAGGTCGTGCTGGCCTGCAGCTTTGCGAGGGTTCGTGATGTGCTGTGACCAAAAAAACAACAACAACAAAGATGTCAATAACAGCCAGTCACAGATCAGTGATCAGTACATTCCTTTAGGGCTACACTGTCAGAAAAGCATGACCTGGCTGCAGAAACACAAAAAGGCTACTGCAACCTGTGCAGGTGACTTGTATCACCATGTTCTCCTGCTGCTGAGGGAAATGGCCACACAGAGGCGCTCTCACCGTGTCTTTGATCTGCTCATACTGGGCCCGGTGCTCCTTGGTCTTGTTGATCCACTGACCCTTGTCTTCTGGAAGAGCCTCAAGGTACAACTGCAGACAGCCAGCACACAGGTGAGCACATGCTCTTAGAAGTCATACACACGCAGACAGTTGACACTTTCAAAAAACTAAAACTCTAGGCCCCCCGTTTCCACCAAAGAAGGTCTGCAAGCTGCCAAAAGTGCTGTCTTTCATGAGCGAAGGAAATTGCCACAGCCACTTTAATCACACTCGATAGGACCGCTTGATCCACTTGGCAGTTACCTTCCAGCACACGCTCCGAAAGCGGCTGCTCCTCAGTCGACCATTGATGCCTGCCTGCCGGATCCTGGCCAGGTAATTACTGTTGAGGAACAGGTCGTCCCATTCTTTCCTGTGCGGACGAGGGGAGGCAGAGGACGGGGAGATTTATGAGCTCCCCAACCCAAATTGGGCACAGTATTCCATCTAATGTGTCATATCCTGCCAGTAAAGCAGGAGGCTGGAGCAGTGAGCTGGGCCAAGAGTTTATGGTACACCCACACAACAAGATACTGGAAACACTCACCTGTACGAGAGGAAGGTTGACTGAGACTGTGAGTAAGTGCTGCTGTCAAGAGAGCCTCCTGTTAAAGCACACACACACACACACACACACACACACACACACACACACACACATAACCACAAGGGGGCGATGTAAACAACCAGTGCAAAGGAGTCAAAGTGGAAATCAATCATTTTCTAAGCTTAATAAACAAAAATATAACATTTGAAAACTGCCACAATAAGGAACTTGTCTCTTAAGTGCTTTCAAATTACCAATCAGTTATTTTTAGGGGCTTTTTTTTCTCTGTCATGCAGTGACGCAAAATGGGCCAGAAGCAGGGAAAGTGACGACAGAGAGTAAAGCACCATGCTCCTCTTCCTCTTTATTGGCAGTAATAAGTCTAATTTGGCCTGCAGGTAAACATGCATTCAAGTCGGAGAGCTGTCTATCAACATTAGTTACAGGAGTAGATCATTCCACAGGGACACTCGGCATGAATATTCATCAGATCCACGACATGCCTGCCCCCGACATCTTCTCTCCGTCACACGTAAACATAAGAACACAAAAACACCCTCAGCCCGGGGGCGTCGGCCTACCGTGTCTGTGACTCACACTTCACAATGAGCGCCAAAAAAAGTGATTGTGACTCTCTTCTACTCTATGACTCGTCTACTGGTTGGAGCCTTAGTATCCATCATTCCTCTGAGTGGAAGAGTTTAAGCTTTAATACTGACTGGTGTGCTTTTATGAAGTGACCAAACTAAGAACAGTCCCAACGTGACAGAAGCTTTAATTCAAGGATCTAAAATGTCTTTGCCACAGGTTGTGTTTGAGAGCTTAAGTCCCGGTTCTAGTCTGCTGTGAGAGTTGACGTACTGCTGCGGTTCTTGTTGAAATTATTGAGCGGGTCGAAGCCCGTCTCCTGCAGCTCGTCTGTCTGGAGCGGGTGGCGGGTCTCGAAATTGGGGTGCTGCATGGCCGCGACCCAGCCGGATCTGGAGCAGGTAATACGAGACCAGAGAGAACCCAGACAAAAAAGAAAGGAACTGGAATTAAATCACAGGTCAGTGTAACAGAACAGCTGGCAGATCAGCTAGAGCACCCTCAGACCCTTAGATTCACTTAATTCCCGGACGTCTCCGGGATCATGATTATGTTATTTGATCCCACAGCTCAACAGTTGAGCCAAGATAGCCTGATACATGCTGTTTGACATAACTTCAGACTAGACCAAATAAAAAGCCCGTCTCATTTATTAGTTTATGACTCTGGTAAAGTAAGAAAAGCACAGATTTAGGCCATTCTATGTGATCTTCTTTTGATCAATTAATATTTTTCTCCTCCCCTGAAACTGTTAGGAGCCCCGTGCGGAGGCCCGTCTCACACTTTGAAAACCTCTGAGCTCTTATTCTGACCTCTTCATGAAGGGTTGCATCAAAATCTATCTACTGCAATCACTGAAGTCCGCCCCGCTACCAACCCTGAAAGCAGTTGAACTGTTAAATAAATCTCTGAACTTACTGTCACAGCCTCTTGATTCTTCGCCGCCAAGACTCAGAAGAAAAGAATGACTCTGCAGAAAGAGGAATAAACGACAATGAAATCAAACACCTTCAGCCCACAGGGTTTTGCAAATCGCACGTACTCCTGCTAGTTTCTCAAGATTATCAACCCAAACTTTAATGGCGTAAGTAAAGTCACCAAATTTAGGGTGCATATAACCATCATTATGAAACTTGAACAGAAAGTTGTTCATATGTTTTTAATAAGTAGCCTGAATCCCTTGAAACGACGCCGTTAATAGTTATGACATCCAAACAGACGTCCAACAACCAACCAATCAGGCCACAGTCCAGAACTGATGATGATGTCAATAAACAGGACAAACTATTCAGACTTTTGTTATCAGCAGAAAGAAACGTGTGCACTCATGTACGAGTAAATAGTTCACAGTTAGGCTACGAGTGATGGAACAATTGGTCCAATAACCAGTTAATCATCTGAAAATTACTCGACAACAACGATGATCAATTAATTGTTTATGTCATTTATCGAGCAAAACTTCCAGGTTTTCATGCGTGCGACTCTTTTATCTGAAAGTATCTTTGAATTTTGGGCAAAGCAAAACATAAGAGGACCTTGGCCTCCGAGAAATCAAATAACGGGAATTATTTTATTATTTTCTGACATTTTAGAATCGATAAAACCATGAATCTATAAATCATTACAATATTCGGCAGTTTGTGCATCAATTTTAAAATGTATTTATAATGATTTTAGCTCAAATTGTAGCAGACAAAGCTGGAAAATTGACTTAAAAATCAAAATTGTACTAGTTTGTAGCAGGTAAACCCTGATCCAATGCCACTGTGCCAACAATCACAGCTATGAGGAAAGTTGGAACTTCCTCTGTGAGACATCACTATCTAGGTTAAACAATTCTTCCTCCAGTCGTTATCCGGCTTGGGATTATTCCACGTTGATGAATACGGTTCGTCTAATACGCAGGCCTACAGAACAAGCGCGCTTCCACAGAGCATTATGTTTCCTTTCGCTTTATTAATTGTGGAAATAACACAACAAAAGGCATCTCTTAAACCTATTAGCCGGGTGAATGGGACACCGCTTGATAAATCAGCTACACACACGCCATCAAAATAGAAATAATTTGATATGCATAATGTATGTGCCTGTTTTCTTAGGAAACATCTGTTCTCCTCAAAGACTAATGCGCTCTTTAAGTCAAAGGGTTTCTTTTTCTCCCTTCCCTCATAAAAAGGATATTATCCGGTTAAATAATCGTAACTAATCCACAACTAAAAAGAGAGACAGAGGAAGGGAGGAGGACAGTATCTCCAATAATAGCCTGTTGTCTTAGTTTTACTTTGAAAAGAGTGACATGAAAGATTTATCAAACTCTCCCGAGGAGCTACAAATATAACCGTACTCACCTCACACACAGAATATCAATTCATATCATCACCAACTGACTACAATTTGCATTACACAAAGTGTCAAAACATATTTTGAGGAACATTTTTCCCCTACAGGCCCGCAAACCACATCTTTTGTCCCTTCTTTCCAAAAATAAAAAGTAACTCTAAACTTTCTAAAGAGGCCTCCTCAGATCTCCCACTGTCCCTTGTGCTTTTGCGGAGGCCCGTCTTGTGTGCGTAAGCCTTTGTGCGTGGATGAAAGACGATGCGGGTAAAAGAGTCAAGGCCCTTGCCGTGTTAGCACAGTCTAGCCTGAAGCGAGTCTCCTCTTAGCCTCCCGCTGCCTTCATTACTTCTTCCCAGAGTCGACCGACACCCTGACTTTACTACATAACAATCATAGCTTGTGCATAATTTAAAGAGCAGCACCTGGAGACACCTCAATAATTCAAAACGCGTATTTTTTCATGAAATAATCAAATCAATACATAATGAAATGCATCAATAAATCAACAGACAAATAACAGTGCGTCCATCTGTTTCTGAGGTGGAAGATGTACAACAGCAGCCAGTGACGCTCAATCCAAACTGCAGCCGTTGCATTGTCTTGTTACAAACATTGCCTTGAAACACATTCCTTCAACAATCCTAAATGTGTGCTACACAACATTTCACTTCCCTTTACTTTACCACAATTGGAAAGTGACCACAAAACCCCCCCCCCCCCCCGCAGTTTTCACGCTTGATCAAAGCAGCAAGCATCACATTATTTTGGGCCCTGAGAATATGTCAGTGCCTCAGATCAGCTGATCAGCGACCCGGGGGGGGGGGGGGAGGGGGGGTTCACCTCAACACAGCAGACAAGTCGACAAAATTCACGTTCGGCTCTTCTTCAAAAGTGCAGAGGCAGGTTTTGTTCATACTTCGGCCGGACAACCACATGCTTAGAGATACCACGTTGAAGCCGAGCTGACACAAAGAAAAGCTTCAGCCCGCTTCAAGCTCATTGGCCTAACGGCACAAAGGCTAAACTATTCTGAGACTAAACCCAGATTAAACTGTATTAAATGCTAAAGTGCCAGCAGAATATACATTTGGAGACATCTGACTAAATTACCGTAGCTCCTCTGAAATCAACAGGCCTTGTTTTCAGCTCTGGAAATAACTATTTTGTATTCAGTAGTAAAAAAAAAAAAAAAAAAAAAGGAAGTAATTTGATGAACCAGTACACTTGTCTTCGTTTCCACGAACCATTGTCAGAGCAGTCTTACAGTCTTATGTAAAATAGATTCAGAAACATAATCAGTACATGGGCTCTTTAGTGGATGAATATTCAAACAGGATTCTACATGACGGCGATGAGGGGGAGCCGTCACTGGCAGCTACAGTCGGAGCGAAAAGATTGCAGTTCAGTCAAAGTGAAAGAAGCCAGCTAAACAAACTCACATGCCTCTACATCAGCGCACAGCAAGAGCAAAGGAGGCTTCACGGTCACATGCTCCGCAACAGGCTGGGAACAAGCACGACCTCAACCTCGGCAAAAATACTGGGAACTTGCCGGGGTCTCGACTCATTTGATTACCGAATACATGTCGAAGGATTAACCCTGACAAACGCATGTCTGTATAGAAAAACTAGAGCAATGGCTCCTGACCTGTGGGGCTTCTAGTCTTGACATGTTTGAACGTACTTTAAAGTCAGTTTTAACAAGTGCTATTATTCGTGTCCGTTGTTGCGTTTTGGTATGTTTTTGTGATGTAACCTGTCCCTGTTTGTACTTGTATGTATGATACTTTTTACTTTGCTGCTCATCTTGACCAGGACTCAATGGGACCTAACTAGTTAAAAAAAGGATAAGTAATATATACCTACAGAAGGACCCACAAGATAAAACTAAGGGAATGTAATACAATCAACAAGATCTTTACTCTAATCTTAGCTTTTTGGTGAATCGCAGCTTTTACCTCTTCGGGCCTCTAAAGGAGCATCATTCATTAGAGCTGCTCACAGCTCACGGACTTATGCAACCAGTGCTGAGTGATCATAAGTACCTTTATTCTAACAAATCACAAGCAAAAAGGTCTGGACTCACTGCACTAGGCCGGGGCAGGCCTGCATTGCAGAAAGAACCAAGGAGAAACATTTGAACGTGCAGGCATGCTCAGTAAGTTGCAGGAACAGACCTGACCTACAACCTATTTCCTCACACTATCGTCAATGCAGACAGGTGTAGTAAACGTCCCCCTTTGTCTCCTAACTCAATAACCAGGTCACCTATGGGACAGTGTCCCTCCTTCAAAAAAAAAAAAGCAGCTCTTGATTTTTGTCTCTAGTTAAGAGGCTTTTCCCTCTAATCCGAAAAAGCCTGCACACATTCAGCCTAAACGACCCCTGCACAGATATTTGTACTGAACTGGCTCGTGGCGAGCTGTGTGAAACCACATTTTTAACATGTTACCAAACCTCTGCACTGCACTGAATCCATCACAGTCTGTCAGGCAGGGTGGGCCAACCCGAGGAACCGATTTTTCTACCATCTCGGCGCCATAGATGATAGCCAGCACTGACACATGTAGCTATAATTTAACGTAAAACGCACGCAGTGTCCGTCTTTCGTGCAGCAACGGACCAGCGACATGCAGCAGGATTATCGATGCAGGCAGGCAGGAGGGCAAAACGCCAAACAACTGCTACGCTAGCTTGTACCCTGCTGTCAGCTAACAATGCTAAAGGAAGGCTAAGCTAGCTCAATACACGTACGATGGCACGCGGTGGTTGTCAGTGTCGACGTGACACGACTTCACGTGAAGGAAAGCAGGTGAGATAGTGTGGTGTTAGCCTGGCTGTTAGCAAGTTGTAACCGACCCGATGCACGGGCCCGTCTTTACTTCCGACACACTGCTGTAAGCCACGAGAAAAACACACTCTCTCTGTCACACAGAGAGGATAATATACGTGTAAGTAATGCCACATAGTCATCATAACCCGCTGTGGGCTCCTAGTGTGGTTCGGATACCTGTTCAGGTCACGCAGGACTCCTCATTCTGCTGTGCTCGGACTGTCTGCTGATTTGTAAACAGTAGCGAGTCAGGCGGATGTGCTGAAGACCAGCTGACTGATCATGTGACCCACTAGCTGTCGCTCGTGAGGCTACGGGTTTACAGAAACTCAAATGTACTACAAGAACAAAAATGCAGCTTTTAATGCGGGCAGAAATAAATAAAAAATTATTCAAGGTGATAGTAAATTGTAAGTAATGCTCTGATGCTTTAGGTTAATAATCAATAAGAACTTTTGGGTTGCCAGGTTGTGGAGACTCTCAGGGGTAGGCCCTCCTCCAGCAGGACACTTGTTTATTCATCAGTCAATAAATGCATTTTATAGAATAACCCAAGTCTGCACTTATCGGTTGGTTAGTTGTTATTTAAATTAAGTTTCCCATTAGGTCAGAGTTTACCTGATGAAGAAAGGGGTTAAAAACCAATCAATAGGACTTTTAAAACCTTGCAACCCAATTGTTATTATTACTGCGTAAATTACTTGTTTACATTCTGCTGGCAAAGCTACAGTATAGCTGGATATTTGAACTGTCAGGGAGATAATCTGAAACATACAGGATATGAAGTTGTGCATACAATATCCCCACCACCAAGGAGAAATAAAACAGATTGAAGTTGAGGGCTCGACAACATGAGGGTTAATTAAAACAGTTTTATGGAGACTTAATTGCTAAAATTTCTGTGGTCAGGCAAGTCAAATTTATCTGACGAGTGCTTTTATCAAACATCTGTATCACAAAGTGCTTCCCACAGAAGGAAACAGAGATAAACGAAAGCAGCAGGACGGTCGTGATACAAGAGGCAGTGGTCCATGTGAAAATATATAGATGATATTAAATAGCATTGATGAGTCAAATTTCTGCATTGGTAGTGGTGTGTGTGTGTGTACGTGTGTACGTGTGTTTATGTTGTGGTGGGGGTTAACACAAAGCAGTCATAATGACCATGATAGCCATTACCATCATCATCACACCAGGCATGGCATTTCGAGAGCGCCATTATCATCATTGCCATGGCTAATATTGCTGACGATGAGGTTTTTCACGGCCTCTTGTTGGCCCTGACTTAGGTATCGTCATGGAAACAGATGACCAAAAAAGAGCATAGCTTTATTGAATTACTCCATGAAGCTATTCTGACCAAATGGGCCTTGAATGTTGCTCTGTCTGAGTGTAGTGCGGGAGACACAGATGAGAGTCATGGGCAGGGAGAGGGAGACTGAAACCTGGATGGAAATAGCAGTGGAGACAGATAAAATAAAAAGAGACGGGAGACAGAAAACACTCTCAGCACTGAGGGTCACGTGATTGTACAGACACAGATCCACTGGTACAGAGAGCCCTGGTGATCAGCACAGAAGAATACTGTCTGATGGCCGAACAATGACAGCAGTTCACCAACAGAGACAGTTTTATAAGAGGAAATCATCTAACTCTCTAACTTCAGTAGACAGTGGACATCAGAACCATTGGTTTAATCTTTAATGGGTCCTTTACACCAGGCCTCTGCTTGTCTTAAAATAGCAGTCTGATAAATGAGCTTCATCTCTTATTTACTTGATTCAAGAAGTCTTTCTGACATGATAAATCTCACACACTGTCCCGAATCCAATTCTATACGTTGCCAACTAAATATTTTCAAAGTTTAAATGTCATCTGCTGATATTTTTCGACTTAAACAACCATCTTTTTAAGAAGCAGAAAGCAAAAATAGCACTTTACCTCCCAGCTATGTCAGCCTCTGTGTGTTCTTGCAGATTCTGTCACGAGGTTTTAAACCTGAATTTCTTGGTGAAAAAACATCATAACTGTTGTTATTCGTGATAAAAGTTTCCACCTTCTATTTGCATGTTGATTTATACAATTAAATGGAAGTTTTTTTTAATTAAAAGTGATCGTCCGAGCTTCTGGACTCTCAAAACATTTTAATATATTTCACACAGATTGTTTGTGAAATAAACATTTCCAACTGTAACAGATTTAAGTAATGAACATACAGTACAATTATGAATTAGTCTTTCTTTTTTACAAATGAAAGTGCTATCATTTAATTTGACCATTTCATGTACACACTGCACGGCTTCAGACTTATATTTCTAGTCCACAATCTTTCTTCATGAAGAAACATTAAACATTGTGCACTCCATACAGCACACTTCGTGCCTCTGCTACAGTATGTAAATCAGTACAATATGACGACCACAAGATGTGTAAACATAACACTTCCCAAAATAACGTAGTTATTTGAGGGATTTATAGATTCATGCATCAATAGAAACACTGTATGTAAACTATGATGTGTTCAGGAGCAAATTAGATCTCAACACAACTTTGCGATTCAAGTTCAGAAATAGGAATAAAAATGGACTCATTTGCAGAAGAAACATTATAGATGTCCATATGTTGATCAGTTTAGTAACTCAATGTTTTACACACTGCAGTAAAAAATGCAGAGGATACCCTGTCATTTATGAAAGGGTTGATTCCAACTGCTATATATAATTTACAATTTCAACTATCATTTCTTTTAAAACAGAATCAAGAAACTTGATATTTACGACAATGTGACAAAAAACAACAATGTAAGATACAACAACAGTGAGATTCCTGAAGGAAACAGTTTAAAACGACTGATCCAAAACACAACGCAAAAACAAAAACAATGGAAATCACACAAAAAACAGATCGGCAGTGCCACTTTCTACAAGGCATTTCTGGCATGAACATTTCTCAAACTTTAGATCAGTCAACCAAATATAATTACTCTTTTTTTTTTAAAACAGTGATATGTAATCTGAGACTGTTTGTACTGGGTACCATTCACACATATATCTACACAGAAACAATGTGTTATAACATTATCTGCACACACAGTCACAGTTATGTTCTGTCTCAAGTTGCAGTAGGAATGCTGTCTAAGCTTTCTATTGCAGGTGTGCTGTGTGGGTATGAACACTATCCTTCTAAGCTGTGGTATAAAGATATACAATAAGTCAGCTTTTAGTCTTTACACAGCATTTGAGGACACCCACCTATAAAACACCAAAACACCGTGAGTCAGTACTCGTATGTCACTGCATGGATTTGGGTTAGATGTAGCTCTCCTGCTCCTCCTTCAAAGAGCAAATGGTTTGAGTGCCAACGTCAGATTCTTTGAAAACAGTAATGTTGCTTGCTTCATCTATCCCCGTTTCTTTCTCCTCCTCCTCCTCCACCTCCTTTTGTTCTGTTTCAGTCCTTCTATCACCTTCCTCCTTCTGTTCCTCTGCAGTTATGTCCGTCTGCGAGAGGTTTGGGTCCGTGCAGCCATGCTGGTCGTCTCGACTCTGTTTTGGGCTCTGGCTGTCGTGTGGATGCCGGTCGTGATCCTGGCTGTTGAAGAATCTTCGGATGGTGTGTTTGGGCAGGCCCAGCTGAGCCGACAGGGTGTGGACGGCTTCCTCGTCTGGGTTGAGGCCCACGTCCTGAACGAAGCTCTGCAGGATTCCCAGCGCTTCGTGGGAGACTCTTAACCCCTCATCTTGGACCCCATCTGCACCTTTGGCCTCATTATCTGCATCTGAACAAACCCTAACCCCGCCTCGGTCCTCATCCTTCACACCGCACCACTTCATAGTGAGCTTCTCCTTCTCCTCTTTGCTGTTTCCAATGATTTCATCCATCTCTTCTTCACCCACACTCCCATCCCTCACCGGCTCCTTGTTTTCTGAACCCTCGTCCCTCACCCGACCAGTACAACCCCAGTCCCCTCCCACACTGCCCCTCTCTCCCTGTCCCCCCTCAACCCAGTCCTTACTGTCCCCTCTCTCCCCATTACTACTGCCCCTGCCCTGCAGACGTACTCTCATGTGCCCCCAGTTGCCCCCCGCATCACACTCGGCTGGTGATGCTGCACATGGTTGCCGTGGAGACAGGTGAGGTCCTGCCTCTGGCTGCAGGGGTTGATGGGGTTGAAGATGGTGTTGCTGTGGCAGCGGAGAGTTGCGTTGGTACTGACGAGAGAGAAAGAGACATCAGAAGTAATTAGAGTAAAAGCTGTGTTTGGTCTTTTGGATTTTATATTTTCAATGCCAACTAATTTCCATCATGTTAATCTGGATATTATTGTTTTTAACTTTAACGGTAGATGGTAAAGGGAAGTCAGGATAAACAGAAATATATTTGTATGATTTGAAGTCTATTTAAAATGTACAACTAATATAAGCTATTTAATAATTTCACATGTGTCTGTAATGCAACCATCAAGGGTCCATGTCTGTTCAGGCTCTGAACCAGTACATATGAGGTCTTTCTGTCTTGCTATTAATGTAATGGTATTCCACATAACATACTGTACTTTCACAACCAACTGTGAGTCTGTTCATTAATTAAGCCATCCATCCATGCACGAGCTATGGAAGTGAAAGAAAACTAATCAGCCTCACGGATCATCGCTTAACGTGGTAATCATCTTTGTTTGTGGCATTTAGCTGCTTTTCCTTTGGACACCCTAGAGATCTTTTGGCATTCACTGTGATATACTCTCTTTCAAATTTATGGAGACATTTATATTGAACCTTTTTTGATCAGTTCTCGTAAATAGATTTTTTAAGTGCTTTGCAAACATTATATTTCCGGTCACAAGGACAGGCTCCCCTCTAAAATACGATGATTGTTAATATAGTTAGAGGTAGTTTTCTGCCTTTGCTGCTTGTGTTTTTTTTCAAATTCATTCCAAACTGCTGTTTCTATAGCTGACGAGCAAGATCTACCAGCGCACAACAGTCTGTGTTAATCTTGTTTTTTCAGTCTCACCAGTGTATTGTCATTGCTGAGCAGTGTAAGCCTGTCAGCGCATTGCTGCTGTGCTGTCGTGTTGCTGCTCTCCTGTTCATAGATGGCGTCTCGTTCCATCTGGGACAAGCTGAGGAACCGGCGGATCATGCACAGATTCTCCCACAGGGTCCGGTTCTCTGGGTTGGGATCCTCCCTCCAACGCAGCAGCTCACACAGCCAGCCCTACAGGAGGAACGGCAACACTTTACTTTACGTCTCCCTATTTAGCATTTAGAAGAAGAATAAACATTTAATAAATGGTTTATAACACACTATAGTGCGGATAAAAGGACATATCAGGTATCCATAGATAGACAAGGTATCCATCTCTGGAGAGGTTTATGGGTGCAGACTACAAATAGAGCTGCTACTTGGTTGTAAAGACATCCATTTATTAAGCTAAGCTAACCTCGCTATGCAACATATCTTTAAACACTTACTGCACAAACAAAAGACATTTCTAAGTTTCTCTGGCACCAATAATCTAATAATTTGATCTATTCTATAGTGTGGACCTCTGGTATAAGGCTAACATAGCGGTGGGACATCAACATTGACATGGCAACATCATGTACATGTATGAGCATTGATTCATGTTACCCCCATACACCCACTCTCCTATTCATATGACTTATTCGAATTTAAGGAGATATACGTGGTAATACTCCAACGTTGAAGTCTGAATTCAGCTTTCCCTTGGTCTAGAAACTATACATTCAAAAGAATTTATTAAAAATAAGTAAATGTTGTAAAGCAGAGCCAAAAGATGACAGAGAGATTATTCTTTAGCTAGAATGTGTTCTGCCTCACAAGGGAAGAAACTTGTGACAGATTGAGGAACGTAAAGCAAAGCTAGTTTTAGATTCATGAACTGGAGCATGATTCCATTTGCAAGCAGGCTAATATGCACACACACAGATGCACACAAGCACACTCACACACACACACACACACACACACACACACACACTCACACGCACACGCACACACACACACACACACACACACACACACACACACACACACACACACTCACACACCTGGCTGTAGCCCAAGTCTAGCACACAATGCTATCCAGATGCACAGTGCAGATATAACAGAGAGATCCAGCATGGTTGTGCCTGCCAAACAGCCGGGTAATACAGAGTGAGAGCGAGCGTGAGAGAGAGGGAGAGTGAGAGAAAGAGAGAGGTAAAGAGAACATAGGGAAAGTAAAGTAAAATGGGAGGCCAGCGAAGAGATAGAAAAAAAACCCACAGGGGTTTTGGACCACCTGTCGGTACTGGCTTGACCGCCGAATGACCTCCAAACATCTTATGATGAGTAGAGAGAAGGCAAGAAAGAAAGAATGAACAAAATAAACAAAGAAAAAAGAAACAGAAAAAAAAGGAAAGAGAATTGGAGACATACACAAGAGGAAGAAAAAATGAGACAGCTGAAATCCCCCCATTCCATGAAGGGAAATTATCCTCAAAACAAAAGGCAATAACAAGCTTATGAGGCCGCCATAAAAATGAGAACAATAAACACTCGAATCATGCATGTGTGTATGTGTATTAGTGCATTTGTTTGCCTGTGTGTGTGTTTGTGGTATCGTGTGTGCATACATGTGCTCACGCAGTATGTCTATGTGCAGAAGCGGTGTGTATGGGTGCACGTGTTTTTGTTAAAGCGATAATTTAGGACACAATAGCAGTCTGATGCACCGGTGATAGTCCTCTGCAGAGTGCAGCAGCTGGGTTGATTATCTGGGTTTCCTCCACACACACTCGTTATGCCTCAGTGAGAGATGGATTCATCAAATTGGCTGCAATATGTGTGTTTAAGATTGGAAATGTTCATCAGATTCACAACAACAAGCAAGTAAGTACCTGACTCTTGGAGACGGCCACCTTTGCAAACAGAGCCTGAGACACCTTGGCTCTCTTCATCTCGTGCTGGATGTCCTCGTAGATAGAGGCGCCGACATTGAGAACACAACTGTCGGTCCTCAACCCGATGTCCCCTGTAACTGGGGACAGTCTCGACTAAAAAGAGACATACAAGAGGACAGAAAAACAAGCGAGCCACAGTGAGTGTCTAAGTACTGGGCATTTGCAACAAAGTGAAGTGAATCCCACACAGATTGAACAATGCTGTTGAACTTTGTCCAACGAGTATTGTGAACTGGGAAGCCGGTGAGCGATCATGTAGCCCTAGGGGTGCCTGTACAAAGGGGTGTGTGATCTGGGGAGGCAGCATGAACCAACGCACATGATACTCTCTCAACATAAAGCTCCTCCCTTGCAGGAGAAGCAGCTGGCACATTTGTGTAAATTAAAGAAAACATGTGGCAGTCTGCACCCTCTCCAGGTAAACAGAGGGAGTCAGCAGTGTAGTTCACAGGGAGGCAGATTGGAAATACCAGGAAATGGGGGGGGGGGCAGTAGAGACATGGCAAGAGAAGAAGCTAGGGTAAGTCTACTGCGCTGACACAGTTCATATCATCTTTCCTGCACTGCAGTATTGGAAAAATAAAGGATAGAATAACAGAAAAATCCATATTGTAATTTGTTTTCAAGGCTTGGTTAGTGGGTCGTCATTTCCAATACTTTCAAATATTTTGATTTGAATGCGGTTCAGTGAAAACTGATAAAATAACAAGACAACATACAAGCTGCTCTGTGAAGCTGTACTTTAAAACAGTGTCCGCATGCTAAGTTGACATGCACACAGCGGCAATCTTCCCATGCTGACGTTCATCTGAGACTGATAAAAATGACATTAGTTTTGAACATATTTGATCAAAAACCAAAGTACAGATCTGACCTGATGTTAACATTATTAGCTAGGGTAGGGGAGCATAAATGTATATACCAAGTTTCTTGGCAATATATCCTTCGTTGTTAAAACATAGCCCTCAAAACCACAAATGTCTACCTCATAGTGCTGTTAGAGGAAAGGTCAGGGGTACGCAAGCTTCACAACGACTCCCTAATAAGATGTCTTTGTTAACTGAACTAAGTTCCATCACTTTTCTCTCTTTATTAGCACAATATATGCAAAATATTGTCTTTCAAAGCAGTCTATGTTTTTTATTCACCTATCAGTACTCCCTCTTCGATATTTCAGTGCTCTTTCATGGAGAGAGACAGTTAACACATTTCCCAGCAGCATTGTGACTCTTTTGATTTAATCTCTCTGCTGGCTGACCTGTGTGGATCTTGGTGGCGTGTTATTGCAGCTTGGTGTGAATCCAGTCAGGCTTCTGTCTTTCTCCTCCAGGTAGATGCGCTCCCTCTCAGCCTCGGGCAGCTGCAGGAAGCTGTACATGGCCCGCAGGTTGACCAGCAGAGACTGGGAGGCGTGTTTAGGGTCCTCCTCCTTCCGCAGAATCTCTGACAGCAGGCCCTGGTAAAGGCACACACAAGTGGATATTTCTTTATAAGTATAAGCAAACAATACACAAGGATACATTCATGCAATGTCAAATTCACTGCTGGATTGCTGGTGTGCAAATATTGTGAAAATTACGATCGAAATGATCTTAAGGCTATAGTTTAATTCTTTGCTGTGCATCCAAATAAAAAAGTATTGCTGTGAAATATGGATTTTCCCATAATTTACATGCAAAGATGGCAACTATAAAGTTTCTCATATGCCTGAAGGAATTTTGCAAAAGCTCCTCATATCCAACTTTGGATCTCATTCAAAGAGCCACGCTATCAAGTTCCTGCGGTTTAGTGTTTCACAGATAATCCAGAGCCAGTTCCCCAGTCAGTGCTAAGAACGCTGCTCGCCTGTACAGCTAGCATTATTCTGGGTGTATCTGTGTATAGAGGAAAGACCCTCAAACATCACATGCAGATTGTAGGGCTTCCTTCCTGAAAATAAATCAGATTTCACGCTGGCAGTAAAATGAAAAGGGAGGAAACAGCCTTCTTATTCAAATCATGGATCATCTTTGGATCCACCCAGCAAACCCCTCCTTCCAAATAGATGGCAGCTTTACGTGAAATGACAAATGATAAATGCTCCCCTCACTTCTATATGGCATCTTGGCATCACGCCCAACTTGTGTGGCTGGCACCAAAGCACCTTGGACTTGGCAATGGGGAAATATGGGGGTGGATAATAACTAGCTCTGCCCATTGTGATGAAAATGATAATGACGGTAATAATAATAATAACAATAGGCTTAGCCTGTCCTCTGAGCGCGGGTGTGGTGGTGAATGTAAGATGATAGACACAGATAATGTGGTATTTATGTGTTAGAGGCGATGGCAGAGGAAGATATGGAAATGAAATGAGGGAGCCCAATGGAAGGAAAACGGGAAAGATTAAAAAAAAAGATAGATTGACAATCATAGGTAGATATTAAATAGATAGAGGGGCTGCCAGAGTGAAAGGTGGCAAGATGGAGGGACAGTAAGACAGACGAAGAGGTAGAGAGGGAGACAGCTTCTCTCTAAGGGCTTGTGATTAGTTGGCCCAGCAGCTGCTTCAGTGCTGGCACCAGCTTTGTGCTGCAGAGGGCTGGCACCAACACACACACATACATACACACATGCAACGGGGGGAGGGGGCACTGCGGCAAAGGCCATGCCAATGTGCCAACCATCAAACACACATATTCACAAAACACACTTACCTACAACCGCAACACCAGAAACACTTCCAAAAGATAATCACCAGCAAAAAGTTGCAGCCTTTTTTGACTTTCAACACACCCCTTATGCGGATTACACCCCCCCGCCCCCCCTTCTTTCTTTACATACCTGGGTCCTGTTAAAGGCCACCCGGGCAAAGATGGATTGGGAGATGCCAGCTCTCTTCAGTTCCTCCCTCACACCGTGGTAGATGTCATTTGGCACATCTGTTGACCCCACAGACGACCCAGCCAATGTCTGGGTTTGCGGCCCGGCTACAGGGCCTCCCCCTGGGCCACACTGTGTCTGCTGTGGGGCTTGGGAATCAGGGGCTTTGGAGAAGACCATGGCGGGGGGAGCCCTTCCTACAGGCGGGTGGTTGAGATACTGCTGTGGGGACGGTGAGAGACCCTGGCCAGCTAGCATGCGGCTAACAGCATACTGCTGGTTGAGGAACTGGGCCATCACCAGCTGCTGGTTGACAATTTGGGAGCTGAGAGGCTGGGTTACCAACCCGGGAGGGTGCAGGCCGAAGGGGGAACGGCCACATATGTTGGCTACTTCTCCATGAGAGAAAAAGAGGGTTGAGCTCTGATCAGCTGGGCTACTTGTGATTGACTGCTGGGTGAGGGTGATGTGTGTGGACTGGTCAGAGACGCTGTCAATCTCTGGTGCAGGAAAAGGAAAGCAAAGACAGATGTTCAATTATTAACACACCAGATACAGTGTGTCCCAAATACGCACTAGATACTAATTCTAAGTAGCGTTTGAGTATGTGGTGGGTTCGCATTGGAAAAGTGTCAAAATGAAGTATACTCAAAACAGACAGCATGCATATCCTACTAAATACGGTTGATTTTTGAGTGTGCTGCAGAAAAACATTATTTTCCCACAATGCAATCCACAAATTAATCAGAGAGGCTGTTCACAGCTGGAAATTCAATAGGGTGGCGGTGAAACAACCCTGGAAACATCTTAATGTCTGACATTGCACATATTCTATAAATTCTTGTTAGTATGAAATGGTTTGTCTAACTGCTAAAACAGTACGCTATCAAGATTAGTACATAGTATATATACACTATAGAATTAGTATGTAGTATGGCTTTGGGACATGCTGTAAGACTTATTAGACACACTTCATGTTTGCAGGCTTGATTGAAAGCCCTCACCTTTGAAGCATTTGGTCTTCTTGAAGTGCTTGTACCATCGACCAAACTCGTGACACTTGGCAGCTGAGACATTTGCATAGTAAGTGCTATTTACAATAGATGATATCATACTCTGAAACAGAGGGGAAAAGACAATAGAAAATTCATTACATTTTCCAAGCTCCTGCTATGGGCGGCCTGGGTGTCTCAGCTGTTCACACATCTGATATTAATGAACTCAGATCTGTGTTATTAAAAAGACCCCCAGGTAAATAGGATAATAAAGACAGATGAGTGTGTCAGTGTGTGGGCTCTTTTGTGTGCACATGTACAGCGTGTGTGTGTGTCTGAGCATGCATGCGTTCAAGCGTGTGTGTGTGTGTGTGTGTGTGTGTGTGTGTGTGCGTGTGTTTGAGCATGCATGCGTTTGTGTGTGTGTGCAATCAAACAAAACACTAGAGGTCATCAGAGACTAGTGCTTTCTGTCTGTCTCTGTCACACACAGTTTTTCCTCAAAGACTGTCCTGTGCAATCTTTACATCTGATAAATAAGATTTCATCTTCTCATGTTTATTTTAATCTGCTTCTTGCAAACAAGAGAGGGGGTAAAAGGAGTGATAGGAGAGAGGGAAAGAGGGAGAGAGAGATAGGGGAGGGAGGATTGGTGAGTATCAGATCTGCAGAGAAGGAAGGAATCTGAAGACGAGAGAGTTAGCAATTTGTAGATGTCCCTCCGGCAAAATAACAGATAGACTAAGTTGATAATTATGAATATTCATAAAAAGGCTGTCCCCAAATACGGCATGATTAATGGGAAATTATTTCTGCAGTTGTGTCTGTATTTGCTTGATTAAACGATCAAGATCGTAAAACCAGATTTGGATGTTATTGCTGAATCAGTCAAGAATGTAGAGAAAAAGCTAAATACCAAAGAGGGGGAGTGATAGATAGATAGAGTAAGTGAAAGTAAGACGGCAAGGCTGGCAGACAGAGTGACAGGCAGACAGGTTGTTAGTCGAAATAATCAAGATAGGCAGCGGCCCAGGCAGGAAGGCTTTTTAAGAGATAGCCATCTCTCTTTATCTGTTTCTTTCTCCCGCTCTGCCACACCTTATCTTCCTCTGCATCTGGACTTCCTGTCTAACTATTGGACCACACACACTTACTCTGCATCATGCGTCAAACGAGGCCGAAACACACACACCCAAAAACATTTGCAGGGCATGGAAGGGCAAAGATATTACATGCACACTTTGAACTTCAGTCCAATTTCTCTTCTTCTCTCTTCTTGTATGCATGCTCTAAGTGTGTGTGTGTGTGTGTGTGTGTGTGTGTGTGTGTGTGTGTGTGTG